TGTTGTTGTTCATTTACGTCGCACTAGAGCTGCACAATGGGCTATTGGCGACGGTCTGGGAAACATCCCTGAGGATGATCCGAAGACATGCCATCACAATTTTGATCCTCTGCGGAGGGGATGGCACCCCCGCTTCGGTAGCCCGACGACCTGCACGGGAAATCGAGCACTTTAGGGTAGAACAGTTTAACGAGGACCCATACCGCACACCCTACGCTGGCTGATCCAAGTGGTCACCCACCCGCACACTGACCGCTTGACATCGGTGATCTGCTGGGAGTCTTAACGGACTGTTGTGTGTAGAAGAAATATTTTACAAGTATCATCTACAAACTGGATCAGGAATATCAAGTGTTCGTAAGTATAAATGTGTGTGATTTATTAATAATATTGTTTGTTTTTATTTGTTGAAAATGTAAATTTTAATAAGTTAAATTACTAGTTGGTAAATTTTCAGATTTTTACTTTATTCGTATATTATTGTTTGATTACTATGATAATCTGTGATGCATTCCAAATAATTAATATTTCAGTTTCAGTAAAACTTTGATTTTTTAGAACTTTTTGTATGTATAATATTCAATTCATACAATACTAGGTAACACATTGTTAAATAATACCTTAACTGATAATGTTGCAGATTTAATCTTAACACATCTTATTGCTACTTTTGGTACGGATAATTATTTTATTTGGATGTAAGGAAATGAACTAAAAAAAAGATTGCTTTGAAGTAAAATGAAAAACAAGTTGATTTCAAAATTTTATGAATTTTCTTTTTCATAAAGAATAGTTTCACTTTGGAATATACATGCACTTCAAGTAATACATATGTTTTCTCAATTAAGACTATCAAGGCTATACTATTGAGATAATCTGCATTTTGGTTCATGGTATTCATAATTTAACTGACCATCTCTCACATTTAGAACCATTAACTTTTAAACTATGTATTTAGGATTATTTTATACCTATTTTTAAAAATAAAGAAAGCGCCTCTCTGACTATAAATGTTAAAAAAATAATTTTAAAATAAATCTGTAAGAATTTTCTTTTACATTTATGCATGCATGAGTTTATTATTCGGTAAATCCCATCTTTCTTATATGAAATCTCTTCTTAAATAAAAATTCATTGTTTTCAATTTTAAATTGATTTTTTGGAGTTTACATAATTTTCATTATTTCTAGTCAAAAATTAAACATTAAACATGGAATCACATTACAAAAATGCTTCACTATGGGGCACTATTTTCTATTTTTTTATTAAATCACCCACACAATTGATTCACTTTTAAATTTGTTCCTTGACAGTTTAAAGAATATTACAACAAAATTAAGAATTATCCAATCCAAAAATCCCAATCTATTAAAATATATTAACACATATTTAATATCCGATTTTATTAAGATAAATTTGAATCTATTTATTTTTCTCGATTGCTGTAATAACTTCCTGTTCAATATTTTTTTTAATTTAATTCTCAAGATCTAGTTTTTATAAAAAAATCATTCAAAAAATTATTTAGCAATCAGAAAATTTTTTAGCAATGGTGTTGAAAGTTAATTCTTAATATTGCTGTAGAATTTTAAATAATTAATGTTTATTATTTTAATTGCATACTTTGAGAGAGCAGTTTTAGGTAGAATTTAGGTAAAATCATACTTGACACGCTTGCCGTGATTTTGAAAAATGTCGCTAAAGCCGGAAAAAAAAGAACTTTTCGGTTAGGCGGGTGCAAAGTAATGATAAATTTTATTTGTTTAAAAAAATTTCAAAAATAATATAAATAAAAAAAAATGGTTTAGGTCTACATTTTTTGACAACATTTTGCTTGTATCCTGTTAACAAAAAAAAACCCCATCAAGAAAGCTTATAAAATAAATTTTAAAAAAAGCACTAACCCTCCGAACCACGCTAAATCTACTACTGCAGATTGAAAGCTTTATCTCCCTCCCAAAAATAATCTCTGTTGCCAAATTCATCATGTAACGCAGTATTTCCCAAACTTATTACTTTTGTGTACCCTTTCTAAATCTTTCGTAATAAAAAAAAATTTCACTTTAAAAAATTGCACAAAAGTTAATAATCACAACTGGCTGTTGACACCACTAATTATTGATTGTTAACTCTGCAAAAAGTCCCCAATAGAAAAATACATAATAGTAAATTTTGATGACTAACTATGTTTTTAGATAAAATTTTGTAAAATTTTCGTTTGTTGTAAGACATTTCGTATAAGAACGCGTACCTCCGCTACCCCTGGGAGTACGCACACCAACCTTTGGGAAACACTGGTGCAACGTATACTAGGATTAAGCCAAAATATTCATATAGAGGAAAAAGCTTGAGATTACTTTAAAATAGAATAAAGGAACAACACGTCGTTTTAAACCTTTAATTCTGAACAATATTCAAAATGAAAAACATAATAACAGAAAATAGCAAGAAGTGAGGATGAATATATATCACAGGTAAATACCATTAAAAAAGGAATGAATAAATAATTTACTGGAAAATACCGCTATACTTTTCATTAATTTTATCCTCACTAGAGTCAAAGATATCAGAATCCTTGTTCATTAATAATTTTTATACGATTTATCTGTCCATTGAGAATTCTGGAAGAAGCAAGACGACAATTATCATTTTAAGAGATATAATCGAAACTTGAATAGAAAATCAAATTCTCATTAGTTTTTATTTAATTTTCATTTTGGATCAGCAAAACGAATTTATTAATTCTCTTTTAATGTAGTATTCATAAATTGTTTTTTAAAGTTCAAAAGTGTGCTACTGGACCTAATGCCATATTTATATATTTTATTTTTTAAAAAAGGAAGCTCTTAAACGTTCGCAGAATTATTTACTCAGGTAAATTCATTGAAAATAATTTTTTGAATCTTAAGCATACTCTTCTAGTAAAAATATTACTGTAACGCAGCTTTTTTTCCTTTTTTTGAATCTATAAACCCACTCCTTAATTTCAACAAAAGTCTAAACTAAGTCTCGCAGATTGAAGTCTATTTTCTAAAATCACTGTTGCAAGAGCCATAATGACTCAGGGGATAGAGCGTTTGCCTTCCAATGAGGTGAACCGGGTTCCAATTCCAGGATGGCTCATCGATACGAATTCCGCACCGACCACAGTACTGACGTAAAATATCCTCCGTGGAAGACAGATCATGGGTTAGAGTCTCTTTGCTGTCAGGCTAACCGCGAGAGATTTTCTTCTATATGCAACGCAAGTAGGAGTTAGTTCCCTCAAAAAGTCCTCCACGCAAGCCTTTAGTTCGAAATTACAAGGTTACGAAATTGAGTAACTGAAAATTCAAAATTTCGCCTACGGTTATAAAATAAAATAAAATCACTGTTTCAAACTGGTTTGAAAGTACTTCTGATATAAAAGTAACAAGTTTAAAACAAAATAAAGATTATCTATAAGTGACTTCATTTTCTGTAAAATAAGTAGTTTTCTCGATAAATGGAATGAAAATGAAAAATATTTGCTATATGAATATAATTGATGATTTTATCACTGTATTGGAGTTCTTTACTACTGATTAATTTTGATTATAATGCATCCTTCTAGCTCAAAAAATAAACATAAATTTTTAATAAGAACGAAACAGAAATTAGGATAAGAATTCTATTTATTGAATAGTTTTTAATTACAAGCACAGAACTTCTTTGTAAAATAAATAATCACAAATATAATTAAGTAAATTTAAAATGTCACATAATAAATATATTTTTATTGCCTTTTTAAATTACACTTGTCAGACTATTTCCAAAAATATAACACTCACTTCCTTCATATAAACTGTTGAACAACAGCTTAATAGTTTCTCTATTTTACATCCTGATTCCTAAATCGTTTAATTGAACAAATTTTCTTTAAGTGTTTCCATATTAAGCAGAATTGTTTGAAAAAATTAGTTAATACGAAATTGTTGTAAATATCTTGTAGGTTCATCGAATAAGCCGGTAATTTACGTACAATACACTTTCTTTTTGCAAGACTAATTGGATAAGTCTTCAGTATTTTCCGATAAATTGACACTTTTTTTTTACAATGAGCTGGCATAATTTTATCCCAATAAAAAAATTATCTTTCATTGCTCAATAAAATTGAATTATTTCAAGCTATAAGCTCATATTAGTTAAATCGTAAATAACCTTATGGAAGATTTATTGCAATTGGAATAATCAAAGTCAGTCTGAGTAATTCTTCGCATAATTCTTTTT